AAGTCACCCCTTCCCATGAATCCCCTAGGGGTAGAAGGGAAACAATCCAACACAATGACAGTAACAAGGCAACCAAACAAAAGGCACATTCACCATCAGACACACATGTGCCAATACTCCGGTGGGCCACATGGTTCCCTTAACCCATCCCGAAAACCGAACCACGGCAACCTGCGGCGTCCTCTGCAACACAAGAAGGAACACACACACACACACACAAACACAACAACGGCATCCCGGAAAAGAAAAAAAAGACAGGGAGGGGTAACCAAACACGGCATCCTCAGCTAAAAACACGCTAAAGGCAGCACAACCAAAGGCATCCTCGAGAAAAAAGGAACCTCATCCTCAGCCAAAGCACGCAAAACAGCGACACGGCATCCTAAAAAAAAGGAAGCCAACACGTCATCCTCAGAAAGCGCACCAAGAAACACACGGCATCCTCGAAAAACCAAAGCTGTTGGGGCAAAGTGAGAATCGAGGGCGAGCGCCTTGAGCGTGAGCTCATCCTCTGTGAGCTTGCCGTGGGGCTTCCACTGCCACACACCCACGAACTCTTCAATCATATCCTCAGCTCAGTCTCCAGGCTTTAAACCAGGCTTCCCGAAATCTTTGCTTACACACGTTTGAAAGGGGTGTTTTTTTGCACCAATCTCCTTTCGGCGTCCGTCTTTTTCCCGGGGCGCAGGAAGCTTCTTTAAAGCTGAGCTCAGCCTGGGTTTGATTTCAAACCCTCAGCTCAGTCACGTGGACTCTCAGCGGCAACTGGAATGGGAAATCCAGTTGATTACTCAACCAACGAGATCTTGATTTTGATTGGGTGTCCATCATTCCAACAACTTTCCCAACTTTAGTTGATTACTCAACGAGATCTTGACTTTGATGTATCCATCATCTTCCAAGGTCCCCAACTTTGCAGTTTGGGGCCAGGGCCATTCAAACAGCATGCTTCCTTGCTCCTCTTTGCTGCCACGGTTCAGACTTGTCCTTGGGTCTGACCAGGTTGTTTGGCACCTTCCAGGCATGGATCGGTTGTTGAAACCGTGGGTTCAAACCACCCTTGGTTCAAACAACATTCTTTGGGCTTCCCTTTGAGAGCCCAAGGCCTTACCTAGGAAACCAGGTTGGTTGCTTTGCTTTCGCACAGCCCTGCCTTTCGGTCATTCCCGCCATGCATGTAGGCTACATCGTAGGCACCATTCCCCTTGTTTACTCTGGTAATGGTGCCGGTCACCCATCTGCTCTTGCCGTGATAGTTGACCTTGGATGTTCCGCGCGTGGCCGGGACATGACGTTGCTTCTCAAGCAAGCTAAACATGAGCCTTGCATTTCTGGAGGCTTCCCTTCTGAAGGGCTCTTTTTTCAGAAAACCCCCAAGAACACGACCCATTTTCTTTGAGATACACCCACGTCATATTTTTGTTCTCTCAAAAGCGGCCATCACGGTGTCGCCTTCCTTCAGCTCCTTCATCCCCCAGCGCACTTTCCAGAACTCCGGGTTGAATTCAAAGCGCTTCTGTGACTGCAGCATTTGCTGAAAGCCACCTCGCACGCGAGGATCGCGCGAGACTCACGTGAGACCCCGCGCGAGAGACTCACGACGCGAGACTCACGCAAGACTCACCGCGAAAAAAAGGGAAGAGCTGCCAAGAGGTCCAGGAAAAAAAAGGAAACGCGCAGCCAAGAGCCCGGCCAAGCTCGTTGATCTTCTTTTTGCCCACTTCATCTTGTGAGATGTTCACGATGGCGCAGCATGCGTCGCCCTGCTGTCAGACTCATGACCACTGATCCTCTAAAGGGGTAGGGAATGACTCAGTACTGCCCCGCAAAACAACTCGAGTGGCGCATTGACCCTGGCAAAGCTTGGGTTGCCAAAAGGAGGAACCCGACTTCCATTATTGAGGGGGTACACATGATCAATTCAAGAGCACGCGCCTGCAGAAGGGGGGAGTCGCCATGTGCTTGCATCGCTTCGATTAGAGTCTTCACAGTGCCACACTCAGCCATCCTGCAGACTGCTCGCATGGCGCTTCACGAGTTTCCCCCCAACTGGGGACATGTCAAGACTTGGGACTTCTGCCCATGTTGGACCCTCAATTCTGTTGATTTTCCCCAAAGCCACCCCAAAAAAGGCTTCCCAACCATCCATGGACTTCGCCCATCCTATCCAAACATTCCTGGTCAGTCATTGGGCGATATCACCCTGGTTTAAACCTTGTGAAACCACCCAAGCACTCCATGTTGCTTTCCCCTCAGCGGGGACCGGGCCGGGTTTAATTTTTTTGGAGGGTCCCGTGAATTGGAGTTGGTTCAACGTTTGGGGAATTCCCCTACTTTGGATGGACGAAATCCGGTAAAAAATAATCTAGAATGATGATTCCCCCGTGAATACCAACAAACAATGGCTTCAACCATGTTTTCATATTGTGGTTCGCGGTCTCACATTTCGCAACCATCCAAAGCATTTTGAGACAAACCCCTCCCCTCCACCCCATTGTTGTTCGAACCATAACCCCCCCTCCCCCCACCCCCCAAAGAACAACCCCCCACCCGCCGCCCGCCCAGCCCTTTATCGGGCGGATTTGAGACAAAGCCGCCACCCGTCGCAACCCACGAAGCCACCAACGAAGCTGTCGGACCGTCCTTCGCGCGCAGGGGGGATACATGGCGAGGTTGGCCACGCAGCGCGCGGCGGGCTCCGCCACAGCGGCGACTGAGAGGAACCTAGCTCCATCGCGCAAACGCGCGGGAAGGCGGAGAGACAGCCCAAATGGATCTGCATAAAACTACGAGTCGGAGTCTTTTGGGGGGGTACCCCCCCCCTTTTTGGTGGTTTTACAGGGGAACCAACAGGATTTTTTTTTGTTGCCTTTTTTTTTTGGGGGGGGGGTATGGGGGCGTTCTCCTAACATATGGGTATGGACATCATTTAGGTGGGACTTATGTCCTATACCATTTTTGGTGGGTGTTCCCTACCAAAATTCCCTGAAACTGGGCGGTTTCCCTTTTCCCTTCCAGCCACACCGAATGTTCTCCACGGGTACCCGGACTTTTGGGTGCTTGAAATCTGGGCTATCCCTTTTCTTCCCCCCACTGCCTAAAATAGTGTCAATTCACAGTGTGCCCTTTCGAGCAGAACTTTGGTAACCCCAAACAATCATGGGAGCAGGCCTTTGGACCCAGGTCCGTTCCGCTGGTTTGTGTGGTGCGTCACGGAAATTCGGTTCTCGTCTTCTCGTTTCAGGCGCAAGGCCATGCTTGCAGTTGATATTGGAAGGACGTTGCCGCTTGGAATCTCCCACACATGCGTCTTTTTTTTTTCCCGGGGCACCCCCGAAAATGAGGTGGGTTTTGGCTTCCATCCAAGAAACCCTCCCAAGACGAGTACCGCCCCCAAAGCAAACCAGCAGGCACCTGTCTGCTGCACATGTTCCAAAGGCCAAATGTCCAACTTCGCACTCGCAGAGTTAAGCCAAACCGAGCCGAGGGACGAGGAGAAACGCTCCTGCAATACATCGCAGCCGCCGTCGCGTAGGAATTCTGCCCTGGCAACGCGTGGGAATGTTTGACAGCTAGTCGGATTATGAGATTGGTAGCTTCCATTTGCTTTTTCGCTCCCTGGAAACAAACCATATGTCCAGTAGTGATAAATTCCCTTCAAAACCAACAGGGGAAACTATGATTGAGCAAATAGAAGGTAGAACTTCTACCACGGTAGAACCATTGGTGGGTTTCGGGCAAACAAGGGCCTTACGAGCAACCACTGCAAAGAGGACTTTCTCCCGAGTGGGTGGCGCTCTCGCCACATCCTCACGTGCTCCCCCAATTCGCAAGAGGCCTTCAAAACCCGACCTGCGCACCAGGGCAACCACCTGGAAGAGAGCACCTCTCAGAGGAGAATGGTCGCTGGTCCCCTGTAGGGGTTCTTGGGAGGGTAGCCAGTAAGTTATGAAGGCGACAAGTGGGAATCGATTGCAATCTATACTCCCTTTCTACTTGGTCCCTTTCAAATCCTCCAAAAAAATATATCCTCTAAATGGTGGTTTAAAATAAAACAATCCCGAAATTTAGTGTTGAGAATGACTCCCTCAATATGTTCAACCACCTTAACGTACCCAATTCTAGAGGTTATAAGTTTAACATGCCCCCTCTATAGTAGTCTCGCTGTACGTCTGGACCTCTCTCTGCGGCTCTTGCTCGAAGCCTGGTCAGGTCGCCGCTCTTGCCTCAGCCGGAATCCCACCAAAGAGGGTCCACATGAAAACAAGTGAGTAAGACCAACGAGTTAAGCCTGCGGACGTTTCTTGGAACCCACCCAGCCAGCTTTAGGAACAAACTCCCCCGTACCAAATGTTTGGACCACTTGAGCGTCCTTCCACAGGCAGATCTCCAGCCAAGCAGCTAATGGGGCAGACCAAGTTCGCCAGCCCGGTGAAAGCTTGTCCGCAGGCGGTGTCCTGTGACCCAATGAGTGCTGTGAAAAAAGAACGTGACGCCTGTTCTGGGTGTGAAACCTGTGAAAGACAAAACAAATCTGGGTGTTCCATACGCGGTCCGGAAAACATGCACCATCACCCATCCACTTTTGGTTTGGGCGAAACAAGCTAGCACGTGACCATTGTAAACATCCTCATTTTAGACCAGCGGGGTCAGAGTGAATTGAGTTGCGCAATCTTTGTCCTGGAAGGATCCGGCGGAAGCAGGCTACGCAGGCTATATGCTTTGGCGTGAGTCTGTTGAATCCTTGCCCAAGCAACCGAGGTAGGCTACAAACCGCTTGGATTTGGGGCAGAATGGTGTTTCCCGCAGTTTCCCTTCCACCTAAAGGGCACCCTCAAAAGCCACACGCCGATTTTGGGCAAAAAAATGCCCAAAACGAATAGAATTCGAAATCCCTCCATAGGTGACCTTCTGGCTAAAAATACTCGGATTCCCCTGGTAAATGGGACAAAAAAAAAACGTCTAAGCCAGTGGGGCCCATCTTTTTGTTGAACCGAACGCACCCCCGCCTCATCACAGCCCTGGTACAGGTAAAGCACCACTGGATTCTCTCGCTGGCGGAAGGTGGCCTTCCTCGAGAGCGAGCACCGAGCACTTCAAAAGCATGGCACTTCACCATGCGCTTCAGCGATTCGCGCGGGCACAGGTCCTCCAGTAGAGAGGTTAAAATAAGTTGGTACCCGTTTTTGTGTGTGTCTATTTTAGTAGGTGAACCCTCCCCCAAAAAAGGGTAAAAGGGCACTACTTGGGGGCCTAGTCTCAGAACACATGGGTGTGGCTCACAATTCAACAGATGGGGTTACGCAGGTTTTAGTCAACTGATTCCATTTACCAGGGCTCCATTCCTATTTTTGAGCCATACCCACATCTCAGGATGGGCGGTGCTTTCAACGAGAAGAGCTCAGCTTTTTCAAGGCCTCGGTTCTGCGGCTCAGCGACTTGTTGGCAAGTGGTCGCTTGGCATTGGTATCCACAGGGAAGGACATAAGGTCCAGGAGCTTGCAGCAGCATGCCTTTCATAGGCACGGTTTTTCCACGGAATCCACACCATGTGGGGGACCCTCCAAAAACACAAACCTATGCAACCATGCAAGGTCCTCTCGTGGTGACAAGAGTACGTGTCTGTGGCCAACCGTTCAATGTTCGGTGTCCCTCTTGTTTCTGGCGTCCCATTGGTGTCCTTTGGGTGTGAAGTCTTGGTGTGTTCTTGTCGTCCTTTTAGTTTCCTTGCAAAAACCATGCATCAGAGTTGTTCTTCCTTTCGAGGGCCGTGAACCACCCTACTGCTATAGAAGATTCTCAAAAAAACAGCAGGGCAAAATAGACACACACACACACACACACTCACACACACTCGCACGCACCCAAACTTCAGCTCCTTACTCCAAAAGATGGTGGTTTCACGTTAGTCTTTCACGGCGTCACATTTTGTTGTATTGGCTGAGCCTTCACTCCATGAGCCCCCGCCTGATCGCTGCCCTTCCAGTACTCCACCACCGGCGGCCTGGAAAGCGCCGTCTGCACCTCTGGGGAAGCTGTGGCCCGCTCCTGGCGATCCGAAAATGGGTACACGTCCAATCTGGGCTGCCCGTTTTCAGATCCCCTGCTAAAAGTGACTAACTTGTAGTGGGTTCAATGGAAACCTCCACTAAACACTAAAAGGCAAAAAAAGCTGAGGGGATGGCTGGGAGCCACCAAGCAATACCCGCTCCCGGCGGCGTTTTCCAGCCATTTGACCCCTAATGGTAGGTGTTTTTTTCGGCTTCCCAAACGCCATCCAAACTGGGCCAACCGATTTAGGGCAGACCCAAATTGCACACTGCCGGTTTGCAGTTGCATGCCTTCTCCAGGATCGGGCTGTTCTCCATGTTCACCAGGACCAGGATTTGGGCTCCCTGCAAGAATCAAGGCAAGGAATGAAAGTGTATGTGCGTGTTTTAGGGGACCCCCAAACAGATGGTTTTCCCGTTGGTTTCCCCTTCAATACTGTTAACAAAATGGTACCCTCATTAAGAATGGCACACTCATATGGCCTTACCACGAAACCAGGTAGCAGAACTGCCTCAGTAGTCGGTTGACCAGAAGGGGCTCCAACAAAGTGGCTTCCTTTGGGTCAGAACTTGGAAGCCACGCCTCGTTGGCTCCAGCCAGGATGTCCTTCTTCACTTCTTCCTGGAAGGCCGGCACACGAATCGGCGCGGACTGGAAGGCTGGAAGGGCAACCACCCCCGAAAGAGGCGCCTTTTTTGGTATCCCACTTTCAAACCATCCCGAAAAGGGGGGGTCCCAACTCCCAAGAAAACCCACAAACACACACACACACACACACTCGCACTCCGGCTGGCTGCACCCGGCGTCGCCCGTCCTTCACGAAGCAGCCCTCCTGAAGAAGGACCAAGACATTGAGACTCTGGGCCGCGATCTGCGTTCGCTGCCTCGAGTTTGGTGGTGTTTTGCTTCTTGTGTTCGAGTGCAAGGACAATGACAAGGGTTCGCTAGCTTTCTTGCTGGTTTCCCCAAAAATCAACCTGAAAAGGGTACACCCTAAAACAAAAGAAGCAAGATGCTATTGGCGCAGCGCAGGTGCAAGGAACAAGGCTTGTCTCAAACTAGGATTCGAATGAAAGCCAAAGGAAAACTATGCCCCCGACAAAAAGAGAAATAAACGTACCCAAGTGGCCCACGCGACACAAGTTGTCTGCTATCCAAGCTGCATGTCTTCCTTGCCCGGCACCTTCTCGTTGCAAACTGCTGTTCGGACATTGGGCCTTGGCACGTGTAAAACAAGGAGTACAGAACCTGGAGCGCTTGACATCCCGCTTTTGAAGGGCATATTTGAAGAACCAGGTGTTCAATGGAAAAATTGCCTTTGGAGGGGCTTGGGCGCTTCCATAAGGGACTTGAAACTTGATTGCCACCGAAAGGCGTGTAGTCCTTCATAGAAACTTTGAGCTGCTTGGCAAAGGCGATCGACTCCTTGCTCTCATCATGGACCACGTACCTCATTGCTCACTTGAGTATTTTTGAGGGCACCCTTTTGGAGCGGGGGGCTTTAAGGGAAGCCATGATATAGCCATATTCTTTGGGGGTACCCTCTTGCATCACCCCAAAAATGAACTCCATCAAAGTCGGATGAATGGGTATGATTTTTCGTTGGCTGGACCTTGTGGAAAAAAATAGTCAAACTCGCTTGGTGTGTCATACTCTGAGTTGGTACATTTTTCAGTCGAAGCCGAAGTCAGTAGCCCTGCGAACCAGCCCTCCGGAGCACAAGTCGAAGAGTTTGAGGAAGCGCTTGCCCTTCTTGGAGCTCTTCACCTGGCCGTGTCTCATGGGATATGGCCGTCTCTCTTGAGGCTAGCCCAACTTTTGGAATGGTCGTAAAGGGAAATCAAATGGAACACCACTGGTTTGTGGGTCCAACCTTAAACATGGACGCACCCACACGCCTCGGGGGAACCCTGAAATGGATCAGGAGCCTGAATGCATGTTTACATAAATAGAAAAAAGGACCCCCCCCCAACAAAAAATATATATGGTCCGCTGCCTTTTGGATCCAACCAATTTAATGCCACAAAACAGGCAGAGAACCTCATCCGCAATTCATCGGGTTTTGTCGTTGCCCGGGAAATCCACCGTCCCCCCCTTCAAACAACACCCAACTGTTTGTCCCTCGGCCGTGGCAAGGCCTTGTCGACAATGTACTTGTAGTGCATGCTGGCATCTCGATCACCTCCCGAGCCAAGCCCTGTCTGAGTTTGAAGGGAATCCTGACAATCTGGGTGGTGGGGGGGGGGCTCAAAACGGCGGACTTGTTGTGGATGGTTCGAAAAGGGGAAACAGGCCGTTCTAGGACTCCTCAATCTTGAGGAGCACAAAGCGGTTTTCATAATGTCCACCCAAACCCTTTCCAACGTTCAAACAAAAGGATAAGCGATGGCTAAAAAATAGGAACATGTGACTCCCGGACAAAATGTCCTGCTTCCCCAAGCAAGTATGGGACATTTCGGGTGGGCCCCCGGCTTTTGCGGTTGCCCTGTGTCGCCAAACGCGGATTAGACTACTCAATACTTTTGTGAGCCACTCATGCGTGCCACAGTCATGGGCATGCTTGATAGGAATCCCTGCTGATGGACGAAATCCACTTCGCACCACAGAAGCAACCTGGTTTCTGCTGATTCCCCTATAGCAACCAATCCACGGTTGCAAAGTGGTGACGGATTTCGCAACCATCCACAGTACCAATGGCTCCCGTACGTGGCTGATGGTCATCAACCAACCCCAAGCCAAGGCAAGGCGTGGCAGTTCCCGGAGCCTGCCTTCCAAAGCGCCCATCTGCTTCGCAACAAAGGCCTGCATGCAACCCCCAAGCCAACACCCCGGCGCCGAAAAAAGAAAAGTCGCCTGCGCCTGTCCCCTGCATGCAATACATGCCGCCAGAAAGGTGGCGAGAAACCCCCGGCAAAGAGAAACACACACCAAAGAAAAGAAGCTCCAACGAGCAGCAGCTGGCGGCACTGCCAGCTTCTGCGCACCCCAGAACGCCCGGAGGAGAAAGCAAGGAGGGCTCTGGCGCGACAAAAAAGGGAGACACACTTCTCCAGCGCGGGCAGAACTCTTGAAGGAGACAAAAGGAAAGTCAACCTTTGGGGAAGTCCTCTATTTTGAGACACCCATTCAATATGGTTGGTTTACTTTTGGGTTCCCTTAAAATACCCGCCAGGATTCAGTCAAGCTGCGTGATAGTTGTGGAAAGTGGTGTACGAGATCTCGGATTCTAGCGTCAGTCCTGTGGCACGCGACGATCTGCTGAGGCACCCCAAACCCCAGCTCACGTTCGGACCCACCATAATGGGTAGAACAAGATTTATATCGGCCGCCCTATAGAGCCCATGAAAACACAACTCTTGGTTCTACCAGAATGGCTCTAAAAATGTGTTTTCAAGCCTCATCAAAAAAAGAAAACGGGTAGCAACCGAACCCACTACTGGATGGTCAGTGGGAATCGGTTGTGGTGGCAATTCTATCCAAGCCTTTTTGTGCATGGCTTCATTCGGATGGGCGGCAGTGTTTTTGTATGGGGACCCCCCAAAATGGGTGATGTTACTTTTGGTGTCCCCTTAAAGCCACCCAAGGGTCCCTCCAAAAACACCTTAGTCTCCCGTTAAAACCACCAAGACTTCCCTGAAAATCCCTTAAAACGACACGTAGGCTTCCCCGAAAAGAACACCTTGATGTTTCTTTAAAAAACACCTTGGTTTCCGTTTTAAAACCACCAGGCTTGGTCCCGGGGCGTTAAATACCACCAACGCTTCCCTCCGAACAAAGCACCTCACTCTCCCCTTGAACACCACCCAAGGCTTCCGTCCAAACAAAAACCGCCCCGACCGCTCGATGGGTCCTGGGTAGTTCATCATGGAGAAGGCTCGCCTTGAGATCATCTCCTCGTACTGGCCACCCAGGCACTCCGTCACGATCCGGTCCACTTCCGCAAACTGGGGCCACCCAATGGTACCTCAGCCGATTTGACGGGACCCTGTCTCCGCTTGGGTGTCTCTGTTTTAAGGTTGGACCCCCCAATATGGTGGGCTGCCTTTGGATTTCTTTCCCTTTAAACCCACTAAGGAAGGGTACCCATAAGGAGTGCGAACCCCATTTTGACTCACAATAATATGCACACTCAAGACCGATCGGTACTAGAATGGAATGGTCGGGACCCAGAGCCATGCTTCAAGAATTGAAAAGGCGGCGATCCGCACCTATTTATGGCAAGGGGATCATCCCTTACGAATCTTCATCTACCCGGGTTTTGATTTTGGCTCACATGAACATGGTGGACCCTCTTTTCCGTGGCCCTTCGAGAAAAGCAAATGGGTGTGGCCTCGCTCGTTTTTTGTTTGAGGTAAGAACAAAATATGTGTTGTGGATGGTTTAGTTGGCCCAAAAAAAGAAGAAGAAAGAAACCAAGCATGGCAAAAAGGAAAGCCAAAAGAAAGCCAAAAGGAGAGGTCCCTGAGAAAAAAAACCACCTTTCTCGGAGCCATTTCAGGGAAACCAAGGGCTACCAAAAGAAACCCCCCCTGCTTGTGTTTTTTGTTTTTTTAGGGGGTCCTTTGGTAGCCCCTCCTTCTTCTTCTTTCTTTTTGGGGGGTGGGTCCCTATTTTAACACGAACCCACCTGAGTGACAACGTCAAACAGCTGCAAAGGGCAGCTAAAATGCACGGAACTGAATCCACCTGGCAGATTGCGAGGGTCTCTCCCCAAAAAGCGAAGGACCCGCTGTAAAATGAACCACCCCTGTGAATCAGTCAGGGTTTTAATCCTGGGTTCCCATTTGTTCAATAGCCAAGGTGCCTTTTTTCAATGGGTCATAGAGCTCGAACAGCGCTTTGATGGCGGAGTCGATGTCACCCGGCAGGTCTTTCTTCTTGTCAGTGAACCTCAAGTGAGTCACAATCAAAACCCGGTATCAAAATGGTCTACCCAGAACCATGCTTCAAGAATTAAGAAGGCCCTCGCAACTATTTCTGGCTGGAACTGGCCCTTACTAACCTTCATCTACCCGAATCGGATTTGAGCAAGTGGCTCAAGTCTTGGGTCGTCATAGACTGGCACAGCATCAGACATGTAGACTTAACTTGAACAGCGCCCAACGCCTATTGACTTTGGCTTCTGCCGGAAAAGAAGCTTTATATAGGGGTTATTATCTAGCAGGTAGAAATCTTATTGAAGAGGGCAATGGGGCGGTTTGGGTGGCCAAGCTCAAAATCGCAATGCGGGCTGGTGTCTTTGTGTTGTAGACCTGTCCGGTGCCATCTTTGGCTAAATCCAGCGCAAAGTAGTTCTTGTACTCGAGGCGGAACTGCTTTCCACCTACGGCGAGAGGTCATGCTAAAGCCGCCATGGCTTAAAGTTTAAACAACCGCCTTGCTTCCCTTTCAAGAGCAAACCAGAGATTCTTTGAACCTATGCCCTTGGTGCAAAGCAAGCCCGACCCGCGCCTCCAGAGGACAAGGCCTGTCTAGTTCGAGGAGACTTGGTGTCATCGGTCTTGATCTGGGCGCAAAACAGATTGTTAGGTGGATCTTTTTATATGGGTTGAACCGGCACCAAGGGATGGTATGCATTCATGTCGCGCGCCCAACAACGGGTATCTGGACAAAACCTGGTCTTCAAGTCTATGGCAGGGGTCCGTCCCCTACCAGCCTTCTCTTACCTGAGTTCTGATTGATGGTTCCTTTGGCAGACACGCTGGCAATCTGGGAACATATGAAACGTTACTATGATTCACACATCGGACATATATAAGGAATCCTTCAGCATCTCGGTGAGCTCGTTTACCCCTCCCCCCCCCCTATGCGAGCTGGTGAAAATTTAACCAGAAGCATCTAAAAACATTCACGTAATGTACACCAAAGGCAACGCTAAAGCAGGCTTGCCCCAAACAACATGGGCTCGAATGGCACAGCTACGGATCTTCAGTTCTCCATGTGATTAGGCCTTCCCTTCAACTTACCAAGATCCTGGTCATAAGCAAGCTACCAATGGTAAAGAAGACCTGCCCACTACTAGCCTTCTGTCACCTGGGTGTTGATTGTGGTTCACGCGGGTCATGGTCATTGGTTTTCCTTGGAACAAATTACAATCTGGGCAAATAACCATAATTCGCAAAATGGAACTAGCACTCTCTATACCCTGTGTGGACAAGGGCATATCAGATATCAGAGACTGTCAGAGAGCCCCCCCTTTTTCTGCGGGACATTTCGAGTGTCGCCCCATGTCCCTCCCATGAACCATGGCTTGCCTCATGTGGGTCATTTCTCTCGACACCCTTTTCACTGGTACTCCTAATCGCATGTCACTCATGTCAGCAGCCCCAATTCAATCGACCGAAGATGAGTTCTGAAAATCGACCCCTGAGTTCTGGAACCCAAATAAACGACTAAATGATCAACCCTAGACGAGGCTGGCTGAAAAAAAAATATAGGGAACCCGGAACCTCCGGAAACACAAGTTTTGGGTTCTCTCTTAGCTCCCTTTGCAGAAGCGTCAGAGGGGTTGCGCCTGGACCCAGAAATTCGGCTGAACTTCGGCTCGAAGGTCTGAGGCTCGGACCGTGCCGGGGGAAAGGAGCGCCAGCACTACGCTGGTGATCACCTCCCGGGAGGTCTTCGAAGGGCCGGGGGGTGGTCCCCCCCGGGACACCCCCCCCCTTCAAAGGCGGGGGGGAGGCCGTTTCCTGGGAGAAAAAGCCAAAGATGCGCGGTCCTTAAGGGAGCCCACAGGAACCCCGGCCCTGGGCTTGTTTTGAAGGGAAGCCAAGGTGAAGCCTATCTTTTTTGGGGGGGTTCCTTCTTGAGACAAACCCTTCTGGATCCAATAGAGCTGCGTCAAAATTACACGAGTCGAATGGTGGTTCACAGGGGTTTCCCAGCCGCAAAAGTAGGAGCCCACTTTAAGGGACCTTTTGGATGGAGCGTCGGCTACTAGGCTAGGTGCTTTTCAATTCTCAGCCCTTCCGCCCAAGACAAAAACGCTGAAAGCAAAAGAAAACGCGAAAGAGAGACAAAAAAAAGACGCAAGACAAACACACAACAAAAAAGACGAAGACGCTTTCCTACCCCTCAAGCCCAAAAAAAACAAACCAACAAAATAACGAGAAAGACCCTAGGACCGGCGCGAGGCCGGCCCCCCATGGCGCCTCGGACATGTAGATAAACCGCGCGGAACGCGAGAGGCTGGATGCCACCACCTTGTCCTGCCGAAAGAAGAAGCGACCCATGGCTTCCTTTCGGATATGCCAACATGTTTGCGTGCGCGGGGGGCCGGGGGAAAAGGGAAAAGGGGGGGGAGCCAGTTGCTTGTTTATCCTTTTGGTGCAACAGTTGAAATTGCCGCTGCAATGGGAGAGAACATACTCAAGTTGGTTTACAACAATAGAAATCCAGACAAGCCCGCTTATGCGCCACGCTTCAGGCATGTTTGGTGATGCAATATGTCCACCGAATTCACCAGGAAGTCTTGTCAACAATTGATATGCTGCATCCTCTGACTCTAAACATATGAGGCACAGCCCGAATTGCTTGCTTCCCCAAGAAAACATGGGACATGTTGCAAATGCCCCTTGTTCTTTGGCGGGAAATTGAGTCAGTCCCCATGTCCCTGCCAAATGGACCGAGAATGTTGACCAAACCTCATCCAGGTATCAAAATCGCGGACCCGCGAGGTGGTTGGTTACATTTTCACCAGTCAATCCAGGAGGTGTAACATTAGAGGTTCCCATTCCCAACATGGGGCCACTTAGTATTCGTTTGGCTTCCTTTTGAAACAGCCCAAACAGTCCACACAGTTGACAACCCATATGAGCAAAGCATCACTTCCTGCCTTCATTTGAGTGTTGAAACGGCCCAAACCGTCCACACAGTTGACAACCCATATGAGCAAAGTGGTCCCCCTTTGTTTTGAGTAGGCGCGGGATTTTGGGTTCTGCACCATCTCTAGAGACTCCCGGTGACCGAAAGGCTTTCATGGAGCTTTGATTTCGACCATCTCCTCGCACTTGTCCAGCTCTCCCTTGAAGTCTGGGCAGCTAAGGAGGTGATGCACCTGGGTCAAACATAGGTGCCCAAAATGGAACCCTGGTAAATGGAAGCATAGACTAAATCGTTTTTTCGTGGATTCCCACCCATGCCCACATGTTCCCATGCAAAAAGGAACTTCCAGCGGGCTCCCCCGACAAAAACTGGTGAAGCCCATGTCCAAATTGAGCGCCGGGGCGCTATGAGGATGCTAGCCTCAGCCTCCAGAGCAGACTTCAGCTCAGCCATGAGGTCAGGGCAGGTGAGGCAGTCCTGGCGCATGGCACATGGCGCCAGAGCGCCTATGGCACGAGCCACGCGCGGTGAGTAGTCGACACGTGGCTGTCATGCGCCAAATTCCCACGGGACTCAGCAAAATCGAGTCATGGACCAGGTGAAAAACGGTTCCGCCATGGAGTTTGATGCCCCATGCCCATCCGTGTCCTTAGTGAGCACCACTACGACGTTGAAGGAATGCCTGACATCTGCATTCTGAACCTGCCAAGCTGGCGAAGAAAACGGGGGAGGTACTTGCAACAGGCAAAATATGTCGCATGAGAGCACCCCAAAGCCCGACACTCTGTTTGGGGTAACCCCTCCGGTTACATGAAGAAAACGCAGGGGAGTATCCCCCCGATGCTTGGATATTGGTTGGTCAGTATTTCTTCCTGGCTCACACACGGGGACTCATGTATGGATAACCATCTTGCCAAACACTCATCACAAAAAAACGTCCGAGTGCCACTGCGTTTTCAAGCATCGTATCTGTTCAACGAGTCCATTCAAAACATGCGGTGCTGGCCGTACTTCCACGGGTTCGGCCTTGTCGCCATAGTTTCGGCCGATGCACAGAGCTGGCGCCAGCTTGGACATTGTGGTGAACAAATGGTCCACCTAAGTCGCGGGACCACGCTTCAAAGGCAAAGGCAAGCATTCTGTGCGATTGAAGCAAGCACAACCTGGTTGTGAACTGTTCTGGGGGGAACCTGCCTGGCTGGACATGAATTCGCGACCAAAATGATGTCCACCAAAAGGTCTTCAATGAACACTCATACCCATATGAGCACTGTGCGACTTTAAAACAGCGAAAGGTAGCTTGCATTTGTGCGAGCAAGCGACCACTGGCATCCCATCAGGGAAGCTCTCTACGCTGGCAGCAGTGATACAGAGGTCGTATTTTCGCTTCACGCCTGCTTGAGTGCGCGCCTGGCAGGCATGGATTCGGATTCGAATCCAAAACAGGGCTTTGGCCCCGCCAAAAAGCGGAGTTCCTTGTGGCTTCCTTACAAAACATGTGAAAAGGGTACCAACTCAAAAACAAACTCACACACACACAAAAAACAACAACAGTAGAGTCTGAGTGCATAAGAAAAGAAGTAGAGGTCCCAAAATTGTTGTTTGAATGTCCATTGATTTGTAAAGACAACTCGAATGGAAAGGAGATCCAGTGTAGCATGTGTGTTGAAATTGGATACTCCTCATTTAAGTTATACTTTCAACAAAAAATGTTGTTTGACAAATTATGTTTTCCTTATTAAATTATATTTGATGTGAGATGGACATTAAGTAGAACTTGACAAGTATATCAAGTAGAATTCATAAGGAAAGAAACTAGACTAGAGGCCCCGAAAATGTTTCATGCATGCTGTTTAGATACGTACTGATTAGGGCCATTCTATTGGAAAGGCACTCCCGTGTATTCGCTTCCGCTCTCGAGTGCGTCTCATGAGAAGCCGTCCAGGTACCAACACGGTCGCATCTGAGACCGGTGCAGGGCCCAAAACGCTTCCGTTGAGGTCTGGTTCTAGTAGCCATGGCTGCACAAGCTTATAAGGTGCTATTGCTATGTTATTCAAATCAGGTAGCACCCTAGTAAGGAGCCATGGCTATAAAGGTTTTACTATAACCCCACTCAAACCAGGCAGAAGCACCAACTCGAATGGCCGAAAAAGGACTCAGATCCGCGTGCCGAGTGAAAAAGGCGTGCTCGCCTTGGCGACTTTGGCGCTGTACTTCATGATGCCCTGAGTCCACGCACCAGACAGCCATGCTCTCCGTTTTTTGCAGCTCAAACCCAAGGGGAGGGGAAATATGGGTGCCCCGTTTAGGTGGATTTACAGGCAACAATTTCTGGGGGTCCCGCAAGAGGAGATTCCTCTACACATGTTTGGGAGGGTAAATAAATCCCCCTTTTGGGGGTGAACCTTTTGGGGTGGATTTAAAGGGAACAGTTTCTGGGGGTCCCCCAAGAGGAGATTCCATGTTTTTGTGTGGGAGAGGCAAACATTCTATCCATCGTGCCAAGGAGGGGACATATATATGGGTGCCCCCTTTGGGGGTGAATTCAAAGGGAACAGCATTTCTCGGGGTGCCCATGGCGTGCGAAAACCCCCATATAAGAACCCAGTTCAAACATGATTACAAGGACATCAAATGCGTATGACTTCCAATTGCAGCAGGGAATGTGAAATGGAATGACCCCGCGAAAAATCCCCGGTTTGGTTTCGCTTAAGGGAATCCCCTGCTGGTTCATTCCCAAACCCGGATCCCTACCAGTCGCCCCAGCAAGATCTGAGTTGGTGTTTTAAGGACTATTTGCAGGGCTCCCTCTATTTCCCCTTGAAACATCACCCCCCACCAAGGGACGTTCACCTTGGGGCCAAAAAGGTGTTGTTTAAAAGGGCTCATGCCAAATGAGTCAGAATTCAATTCCAAGAGGTTTGCCTCAAGGCCTTATAAAGAATTGAGAGGGCGGATATGCAGCAGCTATTCTTGGCCGGGGCTGGTATTCACTCTTCGCTTCCAGGAAGTGGTTTTACATTGTAGCTCAAGTGAGTAGGTTCCTTGTCCGTTGAAACCAACCCGAAAGGGGCACCGAGCCTCAAACAAAGCGCACCTTGCTTGTTCTGCTCACGCGTGCATGAATTTCCAAATAGGGTTCGGGATACGTGCACCAGCCATTGAGAGGGGCTCCGTTCTACATTTCGCAGTCAAATCTAGTTGCCTACGTTAGTTGTAATCGCGAGTGTGGACTTTTCAAAGGGTTTTGGCCTTGGGTGCCCCTTTCAACACTCATGAACCGAACCTCTTAAGCCTTCAAAGTCAGCTGCGGAGATGTTCGGCCACTCTGTTCCCGCCACTTTTGTTTTAGGATGAGTTGGGTCTATTCTTTCGCAATGCGGCTGGGAATTTGAATACTAAAATATCTCACAAAACTTTGGCATGCGTGAAGCTCCCAAAGCTGCGTTGGGACATAAAGAAAGATTTTTTTTCATTTTGTTTGAAGGAGAGAAACAAAAGCAGAACAAAACAAACAAAACAAACAAAACAAAACAACAAAAAACGGTGGTTTTGGAGCTTTGAGCTGTCCAAACATGTTCTCCCTTGTCCCTGTGCATGTCTTGGAGCGTTCCGTCCTTTAAACCTGCATTTGTTTGTTCCTGAGCATGGTTGTGGCAGCTTTGGGAGTGTTGTCCTTTCAACAGCTTTGGCAACAAGTCTTGGCCGGCAGTGAAATCAACGGACTGAAGGACGAGCCAACTGGCCAACATCCCCCCGCCCCCCCTCCATAGAGCGCTTCCCTGGCACCCCCAAAGGAAAACATGTACGGGAAGAGTCCTTTTCCGCGGCGGCTGCCTGCGTCATTTCAGGGGCGGCGATGCCATTTTTAGGAGCTCACTTTCACTTGGACTCGGGGGTACCGTCTTTCAATCATGCAAGTGGACAGTCAGCTGTCTGAGCCAATGGGGAGGGGGCTTCGGTCCTTGAAGGGGGGGTATGGGAGGGGGGGGCTATCCCTCCTCCATGGCTTATTCTGGGCTTTTCCAGGGATAGCCCCTCCGTCAACCACAACAAAACCAAGGCGCGATGTTCCGGCCCTGGCTGCGCTTCTCCTGAGCGGCCTTGGAATGAGCGGGCTGGGCGGTTTCGCGGGTTGCCGTGTGGGGTTGGTTTAAAGGGAAAGCCTCAGGAAACGAACCGTTCGGGGTGGGCCTAAGTTGCTTTTTGTTTGGGGGGAATCATTTTCTTGGGTTGCTTTTAAATGGAAATCACGGGGGAACCGCTGGTTTAGGGGCTCCCATGCCAATTTTTTAAAGGGAAACCTTAGCTCACTGAGACTGACCACAACCGGTTCCGCAAAGTGGAGCACCAGAAAGTGGTGCCAAAGAAGGCTTTATAGGTTTCTCGGAAACCCAAGCTAACAAACCGTTTGAGGGTTCCATGAGACGAACCCAAGTCTCAGCCTCCCTTCTGAAGAACTGGACCCCCCAAAGCGACTCGAGCCGCATGTCCCTGACCGTCAAACTGGGGGTTGGGGGGGCGGGGATTCTTGCGCAGGGGTTCTTGAGCCTCGTGGATAGTGATTCAAGATAAAGCGAAAGGACTTTTGGGGGCCCCAGTCACCACATAAGGGTACCTCCAGTGAACTTATGGATTTGGAACCTCCCAAAGAGAACACAAGAAAAAGAGCCGCATGACACTACACCGTTAAGGGGTGATTTCGTGTACAGGTTTGCCCTTAGAAGAATTGAGCTGTTCACACCAAGCTCATGTCAAAAGTTAGATGAGCAAGAAAAAGAGCCGCATGACACTACACCGGGTTCCAAACGGGGATTTCCCTGAAGGGGTGACGTTGTGTCCAGGTTTGCCCTTAGAATAATTTGAAAACTGTTCACACCAAGCTCATGTCAAATGTTAGAGGTGCATTAACCGGGATTTTTCGAGGTTTCCGTGAAGGGGCATTTGAAAAACTCACTCCAGCCAAGACGCCTTCATCTCATCTGCATTTCGGAGGTTCAGCTTCTCGATCAGCATATCATTGCTTTCCTCGCTCAAGTCCTGTCGATTCAATCGGATGCGCTTTTGTTTCTTCTTCTTTTTCTGTGGACCTCAGGCTTCTGCGGATTCGATTCGAGCGCAAATGGGTGTGAATTTCAATGAGGGACCCGTTGGTGGACATCATTTAGGTGGGGAATCATGTCCACCAACCACTTCGGAAGTGGTTCCCTTTAAATTTCATGGCCAAATCAGCACGCCAAACAACTGTCCTCGGCGTAGATGACAAACTTCTTGTCCTTAAGCATGCGTCCAGCAAGCACAAGCAACTCTACAGGGTTGTCATTTGAGCTCTGGACTAATTACTTGCCTTTCCAGGAGGACGTAGACATAGGAGAATTGGGACCAGTCCAGCTGGTTTTTGTGGGCAACTTGGGTTGTTGTCCATGTCCTCCCAAAATCAACGTTAGATTGCTAGCACTTTTGTTAGGCGCAACATTTCTATCTTCGTCTGCCCAACAGTAACAGAAGTGCCAAAATCAGGCTTGGAGTTTCTTTTTAGAGGGTTGGGGGCCTCAACTGATCAAAGGGCGCCAAACCCAACTAAGGTCCCTTTCTAAGTGTCATTTGATTTTACACGGGGTGTGTCTCTTTTAGGGTAAGTTTTAGGGGAAACCAAACGAGAATTCGGGCTCCCCATTCTAACTTTTGAGACAAACCCATGAGCCAGGGTCAGACTTACTTGTTTCCCCTAAAGAAGATGGGAACATATGTGAGTCTGCTGGTCTTTGAGTCTTTGTGGGTAAGGTTTGTGCTCATCCGCCCTTCTTGTCTGTCCATTTCAAACGGACCGCGACGAATCAGGGGAGTTTTGTTGACCGCACCCGTGGGGTTTGGTCTCAAAAGAAAAGCCCAAGGCCAAAGGTCTTTGAAGATCTTGTCCACCGACTTCTTGAGCTCTTCTGGTAGTTGCGCTGCCTGAAACAGAGTTCCCATCAAAGGACACAAACCTCTTGGCAACTGTTCTTTCGGCCACTTTTCGGTGCTATCGGGGGGAACCGTTGCCTTTTCTGTCCCAAATAAAACATCACCCAAAAAGCCAACCTCGCTCAGCCCACAAGGTGATGCTCAAAGCCCCAGGGAAATGGACCTGGAACCCCCGGCCCCAAAAAATGGCTGTGATGGTCAAAAAAAAATGGTAACCCCAAAATGGCGCATGCCCTGGTAAATGGAACCAAAGACTAAAACCTGCGGTCCAATTCCTGGTGGCTTAATTTTGACCCACACCCAAATAATCCTCTTGTTTCGAGGGATGTTTGTCGGTGGCCTCCTCCTCAAGCTGGCAGCCAGAGACTATGTGGTGCATAAACACCACCTCAGCGGACCAAATGGCTGTGGTTGTCAAAACTAATGGGATCCCATTTTGGGGTAGGTGAATTCACCACCCATTTTAGAACCTATTTTAGTGGGGATTGGGATGGACTGGGGGCACGGGATTTTCACCCATGACCAAATAGCTCCAAGACTCAGGTGGACCTAATCAATGAAAAGCACAAGCAGAGCTCGACACGACCAGATCGTCAAGCGTCAGTGAAAACACATGTGGTCACTTTACATCAGAACCCGGTCGCTCAAAGTAAGGCCGGTTCCGCACATCGTTGATTAAATGATTGTTACGGCGAAAACCCCTCGGGCCGAGGCGTTCTTTTTCGTGGTGACGGATGCCTCGTACCTTGGCAGATTTTTGTGTGAGGGCGGGGCTATCCAAATGGAACTGAGCTGCGCACGCTTCCCGCACCACGTCGTTTTTGAAGACATTTGGAGTGACGACAATCACCGTGTTTGGTGACTGACAGGCGCAATCATTCGAGAAGCATTGCCAGAGGCAACTCGAACATGTCACGCACAAAAATTCAAGTTGCATCTTTAAGACAAGAAATCTGGATCAATGCTAATGTAAGGATCAGTCAACAGCCTAGCAGCCTATCTGTGCAAACAAAGCCCAAGATATGTTACGGCGAGTTCAATATATTCAGGTTGGATTGTTGCAAATGTTTGCAGAACATATGGGGAGGTTATCAAAGTATGGCCCCATTTGGGGATACCGACCAAAAGCCGATAATTTTGACAACCCTCAAGGATGCTAGGGCAAATATGCTGCTCCAGCGGAACCTTAGGTCCATCACCGAAACAGCGGATATCAACTTGAAAGCGGAAGTGAAAGCTGCTCCCAAGGAAAGCAGTCGTCCCAATCTCTGCCAGCTTCCATGATTGGAGGGAGGCTAGACGTCTGGCCTTTCGCAGAGCTTCCGGTTACCTCTGCTTGGTAGGTGATCAGGCAGTTCTACCTCTAGTTTTCACCAAGGATCGTTTCCCCATAACAGATTAACATGGAACCCCCAAAAACACACCATTTCTAGAGGAAGCTCCATTTGGGTACAAGAAATCACCCCCCCCCCCCCCTCCCCCTCCTTTTTGCGGTTCCTTCCCTCCAACATTTGGTAGGAAGGGTACCTCTGGCACCCCCCCCCTGGTTCCTTCCCCTAAAATTTGTGAAAAGCGAGCACCTCGGGGATACGCCACCGCCGGATGCGTCAATCGAAACTCCCAGCGCCTTGACCTCGAACTGCTTCGTGCCAGGCACCGGCTCCCGGAAGGACACGCCCAGCAGCGCCTTCCTCCCGAAAGAAGCGACGTGGCCCGAAGCGGAAAATCGGGGCCTTGATCCCATGGGATTCTCTTTGAAGAACTGGAAAAAACAAGAAACAATAAACAAAATATTTATTTTTTGAACGATAACTTTTAACAGAACAAAAAGAAGCTAGCCCAGTGCTTCCAGTTGCCACTATAGTAGGTAACCAGGGAAGGCCTTCCATGGTAAAACCTAAAGGTAAAAATACCTGGTTCCCTACTATTATGGCAACTGGAAGCACTGAGTAAGGTAGACTTGAACGGTAGGGGCGCTGGAAATTACTCAAACGCGAGCCCGGAAAAAGAAAAAAAAAAGCCAAAAAATGGAACCCAAGGGTCAGAATGATGCATTCACCCCACTTCATAAACACACATGTCTCCAATTGAGGGACCTCTGCAGGTGGGGTGCTTTTGCTGAAAGATATCCATGGCTTCGAATCCATATCCCTGACCAATGGTGTGGGGTCACTTGCTCCTCAAATCACACCATCCCCTTAAAAGACTCGGCAAACGGATTCGATGCCAAGGCGCAGGGATTTCCAAACCTGAGCTGCATCTGCTGAAGTGCAACTGACCCCCAATCTCCGAGACTGGTGGGGCAATAGTGCGACTCCCCAAAACGTGATCCGCATCTTATGTGAAGTGCGATTCCCCCTATTCATTAACTTGGCACAACCGGAACCATAGGTTCCCATCTCGGACGCGCTCAAGCGCTCGAGCTTCGGGCATTTAGCGCGAAGTTGGTTGCCAGCTCGCTTTCCGTGTCAAACCTGAGACGTCTCTGCCCCTCACAAAGCTTCGATCGTACCCTCCCCAAAACCGGGTGAAATAGGTGGGTTCTGCAAAGAATGGTGCGTGAAGAGAATGGGGAATCAATGCTTCCAATTTTTGGCGACCCTTTTCGGGGCTCGAACAAATGAGTTCGATCAGATGCTCCACACACGACTGTCCTTTGGTCTTTGGTGGCGATCGAAACCAGTCATTTTTCAAGTTGTTGGTTCTCACTATGCAATCACCCAAGGATAGGAATGGACCGGGTCTCCAAACAAAGGAGGGTTCAGTTTGGGATCGTTCCTTTCCCACTGAGAACCAGCAATCGGAAATGTAGGTAGCCAACCTAACCTTCCAGTCCCAAGTGTAATCGACAGAAAGTGTACTAGTCTAACCCTTCTTTTTGTTGGGCTTGGCATAGCTTGGGCTCGGAAGCCTTTGAGATCGGACAACCGTGGACACTCGCCACATTTTCGGGGTCCTCCTCCCATAGGCAACCTTCCCAGTGGCCAAGACAGGCCAAGACACACGAAGACTGCATCATCCATGGCGGCTCGCCGTCCTCTCCTCGTGGGAAATGTCAAACTCAATGCACTTTGTTCTGAAATGAATATGTGTGTGTGTGTGTGGCAAGCTACATGGCAATGTGCCGCAAATGGAGTTGCAGGGAGACAAGCCAACATGCAGGTCAACTGGAAATCCTTACAAAAGGGAACACCCAAAGCCCAAATGGATGCGCTTTGAGCATGTGGAAACAAGATTGCTCTGGACTGAAGGCGATGGCTGGGTATGTGTTTTTGATAGGACCAACAAACTGGCGCTCCTTTTGGCTTCCCCGTAAAACCGCCCAAAAAGGTACCATCAACTCCAAAAAACGCAGACACCACGTGGCCATGGGTCAAAAGCCCGTACCCCAACTGAACATCCCATTCCCAACTAAAATAGGTTCTAAATTGGGTGGTGAATTCACCTACCCCAAAATGGGATCCCATTGGTTTTGACAACCACAGCCACGGTGTCGAGAAGAAGAAACACGACCAAGGAGTGACTGTCCTCTTGCCAGCCGGAGGAGAGAGAGGTTGGTTTCCTGAGGGCGCGGGGCTCACAGTTCCCCGGAAACAAGGAGAAATCCATTCTTTTGACGCGTACACATATGGGTCTGCCGTTTTTGAGGGTGCCCCGTTTTTTGTGGTTTTGAAGGGAAAGCAAAGGGAAAAGCACCAGTTTTGCGGTCCCCTAGTTTGGGACATACCCATATAAGGAAACTCACTTGAGGCAGAACATGGGCCCGAACTGACTGGGTTCCGCCAACATGGCGTAAGCTTTAGGTGGGCCCTATCCTCAAGAAACCCAGGTACAGGTTTCGGGCGCTCTTTTAAACCTAAGCTGGAACATTGGGCCCCGGCCAAGGTCTCTAGGTCTCCTGGCCCTGAACCTCTCTTTTGCACATATCAGGTGAGTCGGCTCAGACAAGAAAAGAAATGTTCGGCCTTAAGGTCCAAAGCGATTTGAGTGACTGAAAGCAATTTCTTTAGTGAGATATGCCATAAATCCAATGGTGGAGTTCAAAGCACATGTATTTGCCTGGGAACCGCCAAGATCGCCAAGCACTTTGAGGGGAAAAACACACACACACACACACACACACACACATCCGCGCGCGCGCGCGCGACACGTCCGTTTCGGTTGCGGACGAGCAGCACCTCCGAAACGGCCGGGGCGCCGTTGATGCTCCTGGCCAATCCTGTGTTACCTTTGAACCAGATAGCTGCGGGGCCGGGTTTTTTGGGCAGACCTTTCGTTTCCCCTTCGGATCGTTTTCCCGCACAGGGCTTCCCCAACAGCAAATACGGGTTGAAGAAAATGTGAGGAACCCCATAAATGAATGTCTCTACATGGGGGAACCTCAGTAGATCTGCTATTTTCAACAACGAGTAGGGAACACAAACAAAATGGTTGGTGGGAACATCCCCCCCCCTCTCTCCCCGCCCCCCTGAAGCCCCCCCCCCCCCCGAAGCCCGCGGCTCCGCGACATGGGCAAATTGGGCTCCAATGGATTTCGCTGGGGCCAATGTCCATGTCCTCAAACTATGAGGAGATTGTGCTGTGAACAAACCGCTCAGCCTTTTCTAGGGCTCTGACCCGTGACGAGTCCTCAAGGCGGTTGCCACAGCTTGCTTCGAGAGCCAGTCAAAGACTCAGCTGGGCGCCATCGGGCAAAAAACTCCGGGCCTGAGCATTCGGCTCAGGCCCAAGGATGTCTTGAAATGAGACATCCACGTTATTGTGCTGGGCTCTCAGCAGCCAGACGTATCCCTTAACATCTCGAACCCGGAAGTCCAGATCCCGCAAGTGCACGGCACTTGCAGGATGCGGCAGCAAAGCGACATGAAGAACTTGGCGTCCGCTGCTCAGTGCCAGCCCTTCAACACAACTCCTCAGCGTCAGCCTCACTTGCCAGGGGAGTAAAAGGTCCACTGTTCACCTTTTAGGACCTCTATGGACCACGGGCAACACATGAAAAAGTCGAAAGGTGGATCCGTTGACTGAGAAGCCCAAAGCCGTCACAGGGCAACTCTCGCCACTCAGCTTCTCCGCCATCCTCCAGGTGGCAGGTGACACGCGCGCCCGTGTTGTCCAACTGCTCCGTGCGCAGGCGCGAGGCGAACCAGGACTGCAGCCTGCGAAGTTTGAGGCTCTGAGCTATCGGCACCACCGCCGGCAAGAGCAGGGCTGAAGCCTGACGCGTGGGTTTTTGTTCAACGGGAAGGAACGAACCATCCCTGTGGATGACGAAATCTGGTCGCACCACTTTGCAACCAAGCCTGAAACCATAACGTTTGTTGATTCCGGGGCGTCTTAGGTGGTGCGAACGGATTTCGCCCATCCGCAGTAGGGAAACCAATGGAAGGCTGCTGAAACCACCAGATCGGTGGAACAACTCCCCAGGCGTTCCAAATTCCACAAAACACCAGGCCTCCCCTTTTTGGACGAAAACCCAAGGGCTGCTTGGGTCTCATGGTGGCCCAGCTGTAAGCAAGGCGCAGCCCTGCCTTGGAGGCCACAAAGGTCTCGCAGGGGGTGACCACCATGGAGGTGCCCATGCCATTCGGGGGCCGCAGATCGCAGCGCACAACGCACACCTGGAACGAGCAACGCTTCCCATTCCCCCTCTACAGAAACCAGGGTTCAAATCCCCAAGCTTCAAATTTGGAAGTTGCCTGTAAAATGACATCAAATCCCCAAGCCACCAATCGAGAAACACAAATTAGTTGCCTGTCAAATTGAGCAGAACCTACCAAATGGCATGCCAAGAATAGCGAAGACACCCCACATGCCAAAGCCCACCACTGCAGGCGCCTCTGTACCGGCACCATGGCGTGTGACCACTGACCGTGACCCACGTAGGGGATGTGAGCCGGATTGATCACGATGTCGCAGCCCTGGGCTGTCTTGAAAAGAAGCCCGTCTTCCTCCACGTCAAGACATATCAGAACACCAAGGCGACCGATCGGAGTTGAGAATATTTCTGGCCCCTCTTGCTCCTGTGCTTTCTTGGCATCAATCGCCCCACGCATGCGCTTTCTGTACGACCCTATGAGCCCATCCTTTCCAATTATTGGACAAGTCTGCCAAGAATGATCAGGAGATTCCGGGTCCACTTCCACCATTGACCCCGCAGCAATCACCACATGGTTCATTCTGGCCACCTCCGTCATCCGAACAATGGCAGGATGCCTATCGTCACAAACGCCGGGTTCAATTATAGCACCTTCAGCCAGGACCACCAGCCTCGCTTCCGAGGTCTTCAAAGTCTCATTCAGAAATCTACCCCAGTCGTCAGCGGATCTGGGCCTGTCAGCGTGCGATTCAACTTTTTTTCAGGCCATGAGACCAGCAACAATACTTGGCTTTCTTCCAACATGGAGGCGTGTTTGCAAACCATGGATAGTCTAAACCGCCCAACTGTTTCTACAATGGGCGGTTTAAGCCACCAAAAGGGTAAACCACGGCACCCAACTGTCGCAACAACCACCTTTGGGGTATGTGTCAAAATAGGGGACCCCCTACACGGAGGTTTCTCCTTTGGGTTCCCGTGTGGTTTCCCATTGACCTACGGATTTTTTTGTGTTTTTGTTTTTTGCTTTTTTGTTTTCCGCAAGCCCTTCCTATCTGCAACCACCAAGACCTTCCTCAGCTCGCCAGCATCCACCGCCACCGCCTCCGGCACTTCCAGGGGGCGCACGGAGAGCCGAGGGCTGCTCGGGCCTTGGCAAGGGACTTGGTTGGGTCTTGTATGGGTACGCGCCGGCATCATGCAAATAAGATGCGCATATATATATATATATGTATATATATATATATATCATATGCATGTACGTATGTATGTATGTATGTATGCATGTATGTATGTATGTAGGTAGGTAGGTAGGTAGGTAGGCAGGTAGGTATGTAGGTATGTAGGTATGTAGGTATGTAGGTATGTAGGTATGTAGGTATGTAGGTATGTAGGTATGCATGTATGCATGTATGCATGCATGCATGCATGTATGCATGTATGCATGTATGCAGGTATGAATATATGCATATATGCATGTATGCATGTATGCATGTATGCACGTATGCACGTATGCATGTATGCATGTATGCATGTATGCACGTATGCATGTATGCATGTATGCATGCATGTATGCATGTATGCATGTATGCATGTATGTATGCATGTATGCATGTATGCATGTATGCATGCATGCATGCATGCATGCATGCATGCATGCATGCATGCATGCATGCATGCATGCATGCATGCATGTATGTATGTATGTATGTATGTATGTATGTATGTATGTATGTATGTATTGTATGTATGCATGTATGTATGCATGTATGCATGTATGCATGCATGTATGAATGTGTGAATGTATGAATGGATGCCTGTATGCCTGTATGCATGTATGAATGTATGAATGTATTAATGTATGAATGCATGAATGTATGAATGTATGAATGTATGAATGTATGAATGTATGCCTGTATGCCTGTATGCATGTATGGATGTATGAATGTATGAATGTATGAATGTATGAACTCATGAATGCATGAATGCATGAATGCATGAATGGATGAATGTATGTATGTATGTATGTGTGTGTATGTATGTATGTATGTATGTATGTATGTATGTATGTATGTATGTATGTATGTATGTATGTATGTATGTATGTATGTATGTATGTATGTATGTATGTATGTATGTATGTATGTATGTATGTATGTATGTATGTATGTATAGTATAGTATAGTATAGTATAGTATAGTATAGTATAGTATAGTATAGTATAGTATAGTATAGTATAGTATAGTATAGTATAGTATAGTATAGTATAGTATAGTATAGTATGCTATGGTATAGTATAGTACAGTATAGTATAGCATAGCATAGTACAGTACAGTGTAGTATAGTATGGCATGGTATTAGTATAGTATAGTATAGCATAGTATAGTATAGTATAGTGTAGTATAGCATAGTATAGTATAGCATACTATGGCATAGTACAGTGCAGTATAGTACAGTGCGGAACAGTATAGTATAGTATAGTATATAGATGTGCTTTTTGAGAGACTCCTTTGCAGGTTGGAGGTTGGCTTTAAGTTTCACGCAGACCGGAGGGAGAGCCGAACTCTATTTCTCGACACATTCTGATACAGTGTCTACCAGAAGCCACCATGGCCGCCAAAAAAAAGGGGCGACAATAGTGGGGGATCCCCCATCCTACAGTCCAAGGGCTGCCCCTTGCCAAGCCGAGTGGCGCAACGGCGCGCACGGCTCGAGCTCCACGCGCCGCGGCCGGGGCGCGAATTTTACCGCCGAAGCCTTGGAGTGCGCCGGGGGCGGCGGGCCCTTGCCCACGCCCTTGGGAGCCATGACACCATGCCCTCGAGGCTTCTCGCGGAAAAAAACGCTGCGGGCCAGCGAGGAAGATGGAAAGTGCCATGTGGGTATGGGTCAAAAAAAAATACCCCACCAGGGGAACCGCAGGTTTTAGCCGCATTTTAGCCAACTGTCTCCATTTCCCAGGGGTCCATTTTGGGCACCTATTCTTGACCCACACCCACGTACCATAGACTTGCAATAGACCTGCACGCTGCAAAAATAGGAAAGGGTTCAATCAATGCTCTTGGCTCGAGCCCCCCACATCCGTCTGAGCCTTTGGCGAGGCCCTGAACCATCGCACCGGCGCGGGCCTGACGCTCAGATGAAATGCGGCGCCGTCGAAGCTCCGAGCCTCGCGCGTGGCCCGCCTCCGCAGCGCGCCTGGGTCTGGAGGTGAAACTCGTGAGCCATGCTTCACTCACGGAGAACATTGCCTCTTAAAACATCTGCCCAACAAACAGACGCTCGCTTTCAGTGGGCCAAAGAAAAGACCAGACAAACTGGGGACATCCGCAGACTGATTCATGGCCGCATGGCCTTCCAACTGAAGATTGGGGATCTGTTTGTTGCGTGATTTTGTAGATTCACATGGACCTTCCTGCCCCAATCATGTGCACCGATTGTTGGCTTTTTCAATTTGACACTTGGGTGACTTTGAGTATGTGTGCGTGGGTCCAAAATGGGTGCCCAAAATGGAACCCCGCTAAACGGAACCAAGCACTAAATAAAACCTGTGGTCCCCTGATGGCTTAATTTTGACCCATACCCATGTCACCAAGGACCCAGACACAAATCCAGGCTAGGCCTGAGACTGACTGAGGCGAGCGCCTACTACGGCGCCTCAATCAGGCGCAAAAGCGCGGCGTGGCCCTAGGGAATGTTTGAGTCATAATCAAACTCACCATGGATGACTCAGGAGACTATAGGTGATCAATTATCTCTCCACGTGTCGTACCGATTTGAAAGGGGTCAGGTGGTACAAAACACGTTGACGACAATCCATCTAAAGAACCCAAAGGGTGTCCCCTACCAAAACTTCCTCTACCCAGGTTGGGATTGTGGCTGTCCCCTCCCATCGCTTGGACGCTGCCACAGTGGGACTTTAGATCAACCACCAAACTCAGTCGGAATGGTTGGGGGTACGTGTTGGTCTTAGACCCACTGTTCGTTGTTCTCTGTCAATACGTTTTCCTCCAAACGCCGAAAGGCATTGTCGAAGGGGCGGGAGGCGTTGGGAGGCGTGGCTGGGCAAATATAAACCTCACAAGCTGGAAGTCAGCAATCCCCACTTAACGGACCTTCGGTGAGCTCATCTGTCAGGGCAGCTGCCTATGGTTCAGATTGAAAGAATCATAACGGGGTCTGACTATGGACACAGAGTCAGATCACACCTCTTGCGTCACGCCGGAGTTGCAGCCGAGGCCAAAGAACCTTCTGACTTCTTGATCCATAGTGGGTCCCTAGCCCATTGTAGGCAAATGGAGTGGACTGCCTACGAATCGTGGTACATATTTCGACCGTGGCTCGCAGAAGTCACAAACACTATTCTTTGTTCTCAGAGAGGACTCCAAACCCATGTAAAAAGAGGAAACTAAACAAAAAAATCGGAAGCCCGGATCTCCGCCGGACTGTCCCAATACCAACCTTGACTTACTCACCTCCCCTGCTTGTTTGCTTTTCCCCAACAGCTGAAAGGTACGGACTTTTTCGGCCCCAAAGCGCCTTCCAGGAGTTTCTTTCCAGCTTGGAGCTTAGGAAAACCGCGGCCCTGCCTCGCACCAGCGGCATCACATCGCAGGCGCAGGCAAACTCAGCCCATGCGCGCAGGACCGCAGGCGGCTCCCGGCGGCGTTCCCCGCAGGTTCCAAGTTCAGCTTGCCAACTTTTCATGCCTAGGTCCTCCGGTAGAGAGGTTAGAACCTCCCAAAAAAAAGAGGTAAAAGGGCAAAGGGCACCACTGGGGGACCTAGATTCGGTTCTTGCTTTGGTTTGAAGGCTCAGCGGACCGATGACAACCATGATGGTGGTGTTTTGAACAAAACAACAGGCGAGGACTCTGGCAAATCCTTCATCATATTCTGTTCAGCAACGTGAGGGGGCGCACAATACGCTTTCCGGCATGTGCTCGCTGCTTGAGCCCGAGTCATGGCAACTTTTGGTGGTCCTTTAAGAGCCACGGAGGAGCTCTTCAGATTCAGGGGGGTGCACCCAAAAATGGCCCACCCCCTGTTAATCAACCAGGGTGTGTCAGTCGGCAACGGGGTTCTTGAATACATTTAAGAACAAGTTTCATCAAACTGCTTCGCGGCAATCGATGTGCATTCTGGCTTCTGGACTCATCGGGGTTTCTTGGTTTGATCCTCAACCTTCAACCAGATCCAACCAGCTTCTGACTCCTTCTAATGTTGACCCCATAATAATATACCCCTGTTTATTAGTATGGGGGGTGTCCCTGTTTTCCTTGGGGATTTGGACCACTTTTGGAGGCCCCCCCCCCCCATATTAATAAACAGGGGTTGATTAATACGGGATCAACATTATCAAATACCGTCACAAGAACCACCCTAGTGACCTGCACATCCTGGCTTCTGAACTCATCGAGGTTTCTTGGTTTGATCGATCAAACCTTCAACCAAATCCAACCAGCTTCTGACTCCTTCTATCAGGTATTGTCAAAAGAATCACCCTACTGTGGATGGACAAAATCATGCACCACTTTAAAACCATGGTTGAAACCATAGTTTGTTGGTATTTGCAAGGGAATCGAATTTTGCCAGGGATTCTGAACGGCGGTGCGAAATGGATTTCGTCCATCCACCCTACTGCCGCCGCCTCCTCCAACTCGCTCACGGCCAAAGTTCCTCCGCTCCTGGATCTGCTCCGCCAGCATCTGGGCCTGGGCCCTGCCAAGGATTTGTTTGGCGTCGACTCGAGACCCCAAGCGGGGTCCTTCTGGTGTTTTACCCGAGGGGACCCGTTGGTTTTTAAACAAAACACATGAGTAGAAAGGCTTGGGCCCTGCAATCCCTGTGAAACCAGTAGAGAAACTGACTTTTGGTAGCAAAATGGTTGGAAAGGTGTATGGCGCATGCTGTAACCTTTCTGGGGCTTCTGGTTCTACCAAGATTAGAAGCGCTGATGTAACTTAGACAGGCCTTTCTATGAGACCTATGAAACCGGGAAATAGAACCGCCGACCAACACAGCCAATTGGGGCTTTGAAAGAGTAGATGGCCCTATTCCCCAAGCGTCCGCAAGCGAGGATGATAAAATGTAGCAAAAGGGGGAGGCGTTGCCAGCTTTCACCCAAATGCAAAAGCTTCCCCTGCAAATGAACGTGGGTTTTCCAAGGGCCATGATTTGTGGCGTGCCCCAAATCACGGGCGTTCCATGTTGCAGGGTTCAAAAAACCGCCCTCGAAAGGGTACCACTCTTGGGTGTTCAACCTTGACAAGTAGATTATAAGTGGGTGTCTTTTTCGAGAGCACCCTTGTTGGGGTGGTTTCGAAGCCAACAGGAGAATCTAAATCCATTTTCTTCTTGTTGGGGGGGGTCCCTATTTTCAAGACACATCCAAGCCTTAAGTGCCTTCAACGCCGAAGCTTTTGGGACCTCGACTTCACATGAAACACGAGTAACCAAAACCAACTCCTCAGATTTCCACTCGATCCAGCGAAAAGCCATGGCCGCATGCGCCGTCGCCGCAGTCGGCCTCTTCCGGTGCCTCTCCTTCTCAGCGGACCTGAGACACGAGTTGGGAAAGGGAAGTGGAACACACACAGGTACGGCTTCCAATTTTTCGCCTCTTAAACCAACCTGGTCCACACGCAATTCTTGGGTGTTTCTTAGTAAACCAAGCTAAAACGAGTAGGTAACCCGTGTAGACCCTTCCACGCCCACGCCCTCCCACGATTTTCCGCCTCAACCCCAACCCTGCCTGTCCACGCCAAAGGGGTCGCCACGCCAGACGTGGGAGTCCCTCAGAAGACCACGCACCCTCCCTCCCACTAACATTGCATGCAGAGAGTCGCTTAGTGGGAGGGAGTGCGTTTGGTAAAGCCAACCATTGGTTTTCTTCCTAAAAGGGGTCATAACCTGCACGGTTCACCAAATTTGTTGAAATCTCCTTTAAGTTCCCCTTCAACGGGACCAGGGTCTGGTTGTGGATGGACGAAATCCATTTCGCACCTCCTAAGAAACCCTGAAATGATTATTCCCCCTGTAAATACCCACAATGGTTTTCCATGGCCACGAACTGGTGCGAACGAAGTTTGTCCATCCACAGCACCTCTCTGCCTCTGGCTTGACTCAGTTCGGTGCTCCGGTGGAAGCTTGGCTTGTCGACCAGATAGAGGTGGCTCTACTGGCAGCACCTCACAGGAACCGCCGGAGTCAAACCATACCCCCAGTGATCATCCCAAGACTAAAATGGGTGGTGCACCTACCCCAAATTGGTACCATTGGTTTTGACCCACAGCCATTTGGACCCATGTGCCGCCTAAATGGGGGTCCCAAAAAAAAACCTGATTTTTGACAACCCCAGTTACCCTATTGGGTTCCATGCGAGTTCCACGTTGCTGCCGTGGGACGGGAGAGTATGTTAAGCATCCGGCGGCTGGAAGCGATGGGACAGCGGTGTCGGCATCTGAGCATCAAAAGCATGCGAGTTGACCGCCAGCTGGCACTCCTAACAATGGAAGCTATTGAACAGCTATTGAGCAAACATAGAAGACCGGGCAAGAGGGGAGGGCCCTCTTACTCTTCTGTTTAAGCCATCTCCAAATATTCCCGGCTCCCATGCCTTCTCCAACCTTCTCTGTTTCTCTGAAGGTGGATTCACCCACCTTGATACATGGCCATGGGTCAAAACCCAAATCGTACCCACAGTGAACATCCCAATCCCCACTAAGATAGGTTCTAAAATGGGTGCTGAATTCACCTACCAACCAATGGGATCCCAAAACGCTTTTGACCACCACAGCCACATGCTCAGACCGGCGTCCGGAAAAATCTGAGCATCACGCTTGCGGC